CAAACTTGCATTTATCTTTCCCTTATTCAATTAATTACTCAACGGGAAATTGAACTACAGTTATTTCTTTAAAAATTGTATCCACTTTTATTCATTTTATGGAATTTCCTTTTTAAAAAGGTCGACAACATTTTTTATTTTTATACGATTTAAAACTGGTCTGGGGACTGTTAGCTTTTTCTGAATAAACTAATCAAGAAAACGAACTATGGCCACCGGATCTGCGTTTAAAATGCAGAAGCACAGCAATAGAGACCTCTTTAACATTTTCTTGCGTCAAAGGAATGATTTAGAGAACTAATGAACTAATATCAAGTAAATGTCCCTACGTTTGACTGGTCCTGAACAATAAACAACTTTTTAAAATCAAAAACAAAATTCCACCGGATTCTATTAGAATTTTGCAATTTAGTCAAAATATATTTGATTTTATCTGAAAAACCAAAAACAAATAAAAAGCACAACAGCAGCATTCATTGCTCCGCATGCACAGGCGACAAAGAGCAAACGTTTCAATTCCCCTTTAAGAGTCTGGGCACCAGGAGAGGAAATAAACTCCACTGCTCAACAAGAACCGTACAAACTACCCGAGCCGAGGGATCAGCCTGTCCGCGAACGTTGCTAATGTCGGAATAGTGATGTCACGAGTGCTGCTGGAGGATCACAAACTCACGAGAACCGTCTTTAAACACATCACAGCGATCCCCCTTTCCTCTCCCCCCAACCGAAGGGCGCGTCCGCGCTGGTTTTATTCTCTAACAGCTGCAGATTCACTTACCTACAAAAACACCTGGTCGGCAGCCGCTAAAACTCCTCGTCTCAAGAGAACGGGGCGCATTCACACAGAAGCCAACTCAAACAAGTTACGCAAGACTTGCCCAATCAGCACGATAAGTTTCGCCGGTGTTTCTCTGCACGGATCTCTCCGTCCTACCAGGAAAACCCGCTGATATCTCGTCCTCCACGTCAAAGGGACAAATGTGCACTTGTGAACTTCGTCGGTGCTCTGAGTCGCTGAGGGCCGACGTCCAAAGGCTGTAGTGTTGGTGGTGGTGCTGGTGTTGGGGGAGGAGGAATATACACCAACATGACACTGCAACTTTTCACTCCGCAAACATTGTGCGGGGCAATAACTACGCATGTTCAGACCTACACGGCAACTAGCCGGACGCCGCATTCCTCAAAGTGAAACTGAACTTTGACTGGGGCAAGACAGCGGCTTCGGGAATTAGATAATAGTTACGCAGATGAAACACGCTTCAGCGAGAATATCAACAACATATCTTTTATCCAACAACCCGAAACACACACACACACACACACACACACACACACACACTCAGGAGAGTGAGCTGCAGAGGAAATCCACAACATTTCCTGCAGTTCGTTCAGATGGATTAAAATCAGGGCCCATGGTAGAATGGTCCGCTGTTTTCTTTATTCTTTGGCGCTATTAGATGCATACTTTGAGTTTCAATAAATCCCTGCGTCGTTATGTCATCCTAAGATATGTCATATCAAAAAAAGGATGTCATTTGTTACATCTGTACACAAAACAGAAAAAAAACCTGCATGCTTTTTGAGCTGTCGAGCTCCTTTATGTGTCCATTCTCTATAATTCCTCGGGATTACTTTAATCTTAGAGAATCTTGTTTTGAAGGTTTCCCTCTGTTCAGCCTGTGGACAGTTTTTTGTTTTTATTTTCCCCGTCTCTCTGAGGTGGCTGTGGACTCATTGACTTTATACTTCCTGATAATTTAACTGTCAGCACAGGGACAGAGGTTATTTAAGCCTTTACTTTAACCATGCTTGGGGTTATTTTTTTGTCTTTTTCATGCTTGCCTGCTTGAAATGAAATGTCCACATGTCACCCCATATAAGGCTTGACAATAATTTTGTCTGGGCTGTTTTAGACGATCTTGAAACTTGTTGATAGTTCCCAAATGTTTTTGGTTGAGGTGCAACTTGTTGTGGTATGCACTCAGTCCACCTTGGAAAAAGAACAGTTCAAAGAAATCATTCAAAGCCCAAAGCTGACCTTCATGCCCATGATGAGTGTGTAAACTGCTGTCCACAACTGTATGTGTGACGACAGAGCTGTCCCAAGAAGAAAGGAGCATTGTTTCACAGAAGTGTAAGGACAACAATATGTTTGGACACAAGTAAGAAAGAAAAGAATTCTCTAGCAAGTGTGGTGACGCCTGTTAAATGACTTTCCAGTTTTTATAATGCTCTCCTTTGTTTTCTGAGTCTTTTGACTCAGGTCAATGTACCTCAGCCTAGTTCAAGAAATAGAATGTGTGCCATGATAAAAAGAACCAGTCTGCATAGAGAAATAGATAATTGATATTTTAATGTGCTTCAAACAATTAGACTTACCCTTAGCAAGTCCGTGATCGGACTCTTCTAAATAGCACAAAACAATCTCTGGAGTCCTAACAAGGCATTAAAATGATAAATTGTTTGGGTATCTTGTATGGTATCGTAGGAGAAAAAAAAATACAACAGGGGAAATTCTGGAAGTGGCTTATCAGGGTTTTTCGGCTCATTGGTCTATCCCTCATGTCATTATATTTTCTAGGAAATTGAGAAACAGGTCATTGAAACATGGAAATGCAAATGAAAGTGCAGGACATGAGGCAAAAACAAGAGTTTGTACAATTCTCAGTACGTTTATTCAGCCTGACCTCTTAGGCACTCTTCCAGCTTTGCTGTAACTTCTTTAAGTAGTCTTCAGTTCTCCAGGCTTCTTCGAGAACATTCAAAGCTCTTTGGGTGTTGGCTGCCTTTTGTTCTATTCAGTATCAAGATGATCTCACACTGCTTCAATAATGTTGTCGTCTGGACTCAGGGGAGGCCAATCCATGACTTTCATTGTGTTTTTTTCTATCTGGGTATACTGTTACTGCATTAGCAGTGTATTTGGGATCATTGTCATGCTGAAAAATGAAGCAATTACCAATTAAATGCTTTTCAGATGGTTTTGCATGGTGGATCAAATGCTGATGTTATTTTTCTGGATTCATAATTTCATCAGTTTTGACAAGATCTCCAAGAAATAAAGCCCCACCATTTTTACAGACGGCTGCAGCCACTAACTGTTGTACCTCTCTCCTGAATCTCTCCCTAGATATTGACAGCAATTTGAACCAAAAACTTCAAATTTGGACTCATCACTCCATAAGACCTGTTGCAAATGATTTTCAGTCCAGTTCTTGTGTAATTCGGCATAGCTCATTAAGAATGGCTTTTTGACAGCCATCCATCCCCTGACACCATTTCTGATGAGGCTTTGGTGAATAGTTCATGGATTAACTAATGGGCCAAATGGATCTTTCATGTCCTATGTGCAGCTGGATAGTGTGGTGGTAAGGCTACACAACTTCGGCGTGGGAGTTGCAAGTTTGATTCCTACCTGGTATCCAGTAAGGATCCTGGCTAGACTCCCCATGCTAAAACCAAGCCCTGGAATGGCGCGGCTATGTCTGCAGCTTATCTACAGCTCGTACACAAGCATTTCACTGCATGTTGAACTGTGTATGTGACAAGTACAAAAATTTGAATATCTGAGGCCTTTGGTGTTATTTTCCCCTATTTCTTAAGAAATGTCTTTCATCTGTTTTAGGCCTGTCATGTATTTTGTCCTTCATTTCCTCAAATGAATGAAGAACACTGTACACCATGCTGAGATATGCCAAGTTATTGGCTTATAGCTCTTTGCCAATCACCTTATCGATGGAAAAACACTATCATGAAATAGCATGCTATCATATCACTTTGGCATTTTTTATAGATTCGGCTAAAGAAACAGGAGCAAGTTGGGCTTTGTTGTTACAGGCTGCTAGTAACAAAGGACCTAAAGATACACTTTAACGTGGATTCTTTGATAAGTTGTTTGTTATGTGTAGGCACAACATCCCTTGTTTTTTATGCTTAAATGATTCATAGGTCAATGTTAAGCAACTTTAACAAACTACAACAACAAGCAAAATCTTCTTTAATCTTCTGAAAATGCTCAGGGACAAGGACTAGACTGAAAATGAGTGAAAAGACAGTCAAGGTCCAAAAAACCACCCAACATTGTGAAAGACTTTCAAAAAACTAGTGCTCAACAACACTTAAAAAACAAGCACCTTAGAAACAAATTATGAAGAAATGGAGGATGTCTCAAAAATCTTGCACAGTAGAGTAGATGTGACAGCACACTGTTGTTCAGTGTAGAAACACTACATCAAATGGAATGAGTCTGTTTTATCCCATCACAAAGAATTTTCCTTTTAATATTTGGGGGTGAATGTGGTGAGCGTGTGAGTCAGCTAATGGGCAAGTTTAAAGCTAGAAGTAAAAGAGCCATGTTTGACTTGTTTAACAGTTGATCTGAGTTACTACTTTTATTCAAAAATCAGTCTGATGATTTGTTAAAGCCTCTTTGGTGATGGCAGTTAGTAATACTGACACTTAGCAATATCCTCCAGCTTGTATTGCGTGGGTGATCTGCGCAATTTGTCAATACAGCATTGTGCAGAAAAGGTTCTTAATAACCTCTTTATAATCACTTGGTTACTGTAATTTAAAGAATAGTTGGTGTTTTGGAGATACATTGGTACACGGACTTAACAGGACTTAAAGGATAATGTCAAGGTTCACATTTCTAAGTCTCAATAGTCCCAGGTGATCCATTAACTTTGGTTCAGCTGGATTAAGTGACTTTGTTTCCTTGACTATCTCACAGTTAATGTATGTATTAAAGTGTCTTGAAAAATACAAGATTTTAATATGATTATTTAGAATGAAAACATGCTAAAGGGTTAATTATGTTACACTTTTGAGTATGATATCCTAGTACCTAAGATACATAAACAGCATGATTGACTTGCAGTAACTTCTTCTTCCTCCCACACCTGGGTCCTTACTCTGTTGTCCCAGACATACACGTGATGTTTCTAGCCACATCAAACACAATCAGGCCTTAAATATACATTGATATCCTGTCAGTGAATATCTAATGCTGCACCAGAGGTGACATGCCACACCCTTGGCAAATGTCCACACTTTCTGTGCTTGACTTAATTCCAAAAACATAAACACAGCTCAGCACACGCAAAGAGAATGACTTGCAAAAAACCAAACTGTAACTTCTGCAAAATAATTAATGAGGTACTAGCGTCTCTTGAGCAGACTTGTTCAGCAACTTCTTATGTTTTGTTGTTTTTGTTTATGTTTAACTAAAGACGAGTATAGAGTTTAGGGAAAATTTTGCATGATGATAGAAATGAAAAGACATGCAGCAAAGGGCCGTGGGTCACATTCGAACCCAGGCCAGTTGGCCGCCAACTCATCACGGCGAGCTAAACCGGCATCCTGTTGCTTTGAAACTTTATACAATAATTCTCAGCCCACTAGCATTTTGACATAATATCGCTCAGCGTTATATTGCCTAAGGAGTCAGCCAAGGTGACATTCAGGAAGTCTCCTCGTCCCTTTTGGTAACAATACTATCTATGCACGGCACATCACACCCAACAACACCAAGAGCACAAATCCAAAATCTACCTGCAAATATTGCCACTATTGGAAATGTTGCATCATATCGTGACAAACCAGCCAGGTTACTAGATGTCAGCGGGTTCACTTGAAGGTTCGGCTTCTAGTTAAAGACACAACAAATGATTCACAATGCCGTGAAAGAATTTGCCAGTAATTGATGAGCAATGCAGATTTTTAAATTCTGTCTAGCTCAGTTGACTTTTTCCTAGTTTATTTTTCTGAGCCATGCTGATTTGTGTTACAAAGAAACTGGTTTTGACTAGAATTTCTGTATCGTCATCTTAGTTTCAGTATGTTGTTTGACCTGCCAGGTCAGGTAATTAAGTCTAGGCTTGGTCCATTCACAATGCAGTAAAATTATAAAGGTCTTATCTTAATTCAAGCGAACACCACACCACTCTCATTCGCAGTAAGATGCCTATAAATACACGATAGTGGGTGATTCACCTCTGTTGACTCATTTTGTGACACATAATATGCAATTAAAGTTGGGGTAAGAGCTTGGGCAGGAATGTCTGCATGGGCATGTACAAATATTTGACATTTTTCTCCTTGCTCTATGAGCCTCAGT